GACATACACACTAATAAAGTTTTTTTGTTGTTGTTTACTAAGACAGAGTCTGTAGCCCTAGCTAGCCTGGAACTTGCTATGTAGACCTGGCTGGCTTCAATCTCACAGAGATCTGTCTGCCTCTGCCTCCTGCCTGCTGGGATTAAAGGCATGCACAACCATGCCTGGCTTAAAAATAAATTCTTAAAAAAGAAAGAAAAGGTCTGGAGAGATGGCTCAGTGGCTAAGAGCACAAACTGCTCTTGCAAAAGACCAGGTTTGAATCCCAACACGCACATGGCAGCTAACAACCATCTGTGACTCCAGTTCCAGGGGATTCAACACCTTCTTCTGGCCTCCTTGGGCACTGCAGGACAAAGCATGACATGGATACACTTACATACGTGCAAGCATAACACTCATACACATAAAATAAATATACAAATAAAATTTTTTTCTAAAAAAGGAAAGAAAAATTGAAGATATGATGCTTTCTCCACATTCCCCATCAGTTTCATAAACATGAGTGGTGGGCCACACCCAACCATCAACTTGATGGACAGATTTCCACAAACTAGAGCTAGGACTAACTTAGCACTTGAACTATTCATGCAGTAGTACATGTCACAGGCTCTGGTAACACTCATGTCTCAAGGTTCCTCTCCAAGATTTGGTGTGAAGTGACCATCAGTATCCTTGTACAATCCTTTTTCAGACAGTCTCACCCTAGCCCACGGTGCTCCCGGGCTTTTCCAAGTGCTAGGATTACAGACACACACCTCCATACCTCACTCTGATAATCTACTTTTACTTGGGCTTTTTAAATTATTTATTTGGTGCTGGAGAGATGGCTCAGCGGTTAAGAGCACTCGCTGCTCTTGCAGAGGACCATGATTCCCAGCATCCATATGGCAGTGAAAAACTGTCCAGCACTCCAGTTCCAGGGGATCCAATGCCCTCTTCTGACCTCCTGAGCACTATACATGGGTATATTATGGAAATAGAGCTTATCAAATGCTAGAAGATTTTGCAATGTGATGGTAATTAAGAACTCCCAGAATGGGGAAGTGAACAGGAATCTTCCCCTGCCCCCTATGACTATCCAGGACAGAAGTCTGTTTTCCACAGCTATGACATTCCTGTACACATCTTTGTTGCCTAAGGCTTCTGCACTGTTACCTGTTATTTTACTTAATTACCATCTATATGCTTTTGCTTGCACTCTTCACGAGCATAAAAACCCTCCAAAACTTGGACAAGGGGTCTGATTCCTTTATTCATGGGGTCAGTCCCTCTAGCATCAAATTAATTAAACTCCCTCTCCTCACCTGACTTTGACTGTTGATCTCTGATTATTTCTGTAACAGGTACACTAAGACACATGCAGGTAAAACATTCATACATATAAATAAATCAATTAAAATATTTTAAATAAATAAAAATAAAATAATTTTACGTGCATGATTGGTTAGCCTCCGTGTCATGCAAAACCTGCAGAGGCCAGAAGAGGGTTGTTGGGTCCCCTGGAACTGGAGTCACAGACAGCTGTTAGTTGCCATGTGGGTGCTGGGAACTGGACAGTCCTCTGCAAGAGCAGTCAGTGCTCTTAACTGCTGAGCCATCTCTCCAGCCCCCGCCCCTTTTTTTCAGCCCTTATTTTTGAGACAGGATTTGGTACTGTAGCTCCACTTGACCTAGGACTCCCACGGATCTTCTTGCTCTGCCTTGTGAATGCTGGGAATACAAGCTCGCACCACCATGCCCAGATGCTTAGGTGTTAAATTCTTACAGCAGAACCCAAAGGGACAGAAATTAATTTATCTTACAGAAGAAACTCTTGTCACTTCCCTGTTCCCATCCCCGCTGGCTAACCAAGTGCTCACTCAAGCATGAAGATTGGACATCTCAACAAAGGTCGTATTTAACTTTATCTCCATCTCCATTCTCTAGCTGCAATGACTTTAAGACAAATTTTGAAACTGATTTATTATTGTGTATGATGTGTGTGTGTGTTCGCACCATAGTGCACATTCGGAGATCGGAGCACAACTCTGTGGAGTAGGTTCTCTCCTTCCACCTTTACATGGGTTCCAGGGATCAAACTCAGGTTGCCAGACTTACACAGCAAGGGCCTTTGCCTGCTGAGACATCCTGCTGGCCCCTGCAATGACTTTTCTACCAGTTCCTGAATTTACTGTGCTGTCTTACAGAGCCAAGCCCCTTTCTTCCTTTTTCCATTCTCCACATACAGCCTGTAATAAATTCTCCACCAGGAGGCTTGGTCGAGGAACTATGCTGTCAAGGAACTTATGAGGGCAGTTACCAAAAAGCACCATGTTTTCTACCTTGTTCAATGTACTTTTTCTAGTCTTTGTCTATGTCCTTTTAATCTATACATTTGTGGTGCTTCAAAAGAACAGATCACTGGCAGGGTAGCACATGCTTGTATTCCAGCACATGGGAGGAAAAAGGAGGAAGATTATTATAAATTAAAGGCCAGCCTGGTCTACATTGCCAGTTTGGGGCCAGCCAAAGTCTACACAGGAAGATCCTGCTTAAGCCCCCCACTCTAAAACAATATAGTACAATCAACATTCAACACTTATTTGCTGAATTACCCCTCTCAAAGTCCTGTAACAAGTCAGGCACAGTGGTGCATATTCATAATTCAAACATTCAAGGAGGCTGAGGCCAGAGACTCTTAGTGAGCCTAAGGCCAGTCTGGGCTACATACAGAGTCTATCTCAAAAACAAAACAAAAACTATACCAGGTTGCCCCCAGGATAGTAGCAAAATTCACTAGAACTTTGGTGACTAGATCTAAGGCATATATTCAGGAGAAAATGACCACAAATTTTAAAGAATAGCTTACTTCCATCTCAACAATTTAGGAAAATGTCGACTTCTACCTAGATTCTCCCAAGCTCCCTCTAAGCCTCTCCCTTCGGAAGCTCAAAGCCTGCACATGGCTGTCTCCTCATCTTTCCAGCCAGCTGACTACGGTCTGCCTGTTTCTCCCTTTTCACTAAGTCCCAGTGGTCATGTTGTTCAAGTTCTATAGTGGCTATGTGAAATGGGGTCCTCTCTGTGTTAGCAACTTCTCTAAGGAAAACTGAAAAGCCCAGTAGGAGCCAATCTTCCACTGGAAAAGGCAGTGTGGTTACATCATAACAAATCTGCTCAAAGGTGCTAGCCAGTTGCTTTTCCAAAGACCATCTTTCCCACCCCAGTTCCCAAGCCTGTGTTAAAAACCCAAGCAGTATTCTCGGGTTTTAAAGGTCAAGAGCCAGACTAGTGTCCCTGAGGGTAGTGATTGCGTGTGGAGGGTAAGCCACAGCATCTCCAGGGCCTGACACAGTGGTTGGCATACAAAGCACCCTGCTAAAATCCTGATGACCAAACATGGAGTCCACCCCAGGTTACTAAACAAACAAGAATTAAAACACAAGGTCACAGGTGTAGCAATGTGGATTACAGCTGGGTGTGGGAAAGTACAAAATGTCTTTTAGCTTATAACACCCGGAATCACTGGTGACAAGGGGTAGAGCAGCTTCATTCCCTGTTGGTGTCCAGGCCTAGGATGTGGGGACATTCCAGACCTACTTCCTTAAGGTTTTTTTTTAATATTTTATTATTTTTATTTTATGTATATGCATGTATTGCCTGCATGTAGGTAAGTGCACTCGAGTCCTGCAATGCCCGAGGAGGTCAGAAAGCCATGTTGGATCCTCCTGGAACTGGAGTTAAAGACAGTTGTTAGCTGCCATGTGGGTACTGGAATTCAAACCTGGGTCTTCTGCAAGCTCAGTGCTCTTAACCGCTAAGCCCTCTCTCCAGCCCAAAGCTTTTAAAAAATATTTATTATTTTAATTTTATGTGTATGAGTGTACTTCCTGCAAGTGTGTAAGTGCATCCGTGTCCTGCAATGCCCGAGGAGGTCAGAAGGCCAGGTCAGATTCCACTGGAACTGGAGTTACAGAAGATTTTTAGCAGCTATGTGGGTGCTGGGAATCTAACCTGGTCTTCTGCAAGAGCAGCCAGAGCTCTTAACCGTTGAGCCATCTCTCCAGCCCACTTCCTTAAAGTTTTTAAAACTTTGTCTGCAAGGGGACAGTCAACCTAAATAGTGCAAGTGATCACTCCAGTCAATAGCGAAAAAGACGCACTTGGCTGTTCGGCCAACATTGAACAGAAGCAGCAAAACAGCTAAAATTCCTGAATCTCAGTGAGAACGAGAACAAGAACACAACAAAAAAAAAAAGGGCAGGACAGGAAAATGGTAGCCGAGTAGAGAATACGAAAGTAGTAAGAAGCCAGAGACAGAGGAAAAGCAGCGAAGCCAACAGAGCCCTGCGGGCGACTACCCTTGATGGCGAGCACTCAAACACGGTGCTAAACTGTGCACGCACTGACCCATTTAAACCCTCCACCAGACAGAAACTTATCAGCTCCATTTTACCGAAGATGAAACTGAAGCTAGGCAGCTGACACTTGCTCCAGCCCCTGCATTACCCTCGGGTCAGATCCCAGGCCACCCACTCTGGCCACCCACAAGTCAGGATTGCCACGGGCCACGCGCCGGTCCATCTCACCCACACTTACTGAACTCCTACGGGGGTGCCCAGGCCAGCCGCCTGGCGCTGGCGGGCGAATGCAGGGGATCCCGCAGAGGCTCGGGGGCTAGAACACAACGTCAATCATTGGGTTGGGGAGCCCCGGCCGGCGGGCAGAAGGAGGCAGGGTGGGGCAGGAGGGCGGAGCGAGGGGAGCGTGGGAGCCGCGGGTGTATCCGGACCGAGGAGCGCGGGGGAGGTGTGGGGGGGTCGTGCCACCGCGTCTACGCGGCCCCGGGCGGTGACAGGCGCTCTAGGAGTGGCTACTCGACTCGCGGTCCGCGCGGCGGATCCGGCGCCCCGGAGGGGCCGAGGCCGGTAAGCGGGGCTACGCCGGGCCGAGGACAGGGGCGCGGGGCCGGACGGCGGGACGCCGGAGACGTCGGGTACCGGCGGCGCCACACTCACCTCCCACCGCAGCCCACAGGACTCGTCGGCCCCGCTGGCCCGGAGCGGTCGGGATGGACTCCGGGCCGCGGGGGCTGCCGGGAGCCCGTTGCCTGGCAACGGGACCGGCCTTTAGGGAGCAGCGTCCGACTCCTCCGAGGGCTAGAGCTGCGAGCCACAAGCGTCAGCGAGCGCGACGGAAGTGACGTCGTTTCCGCCCGTCGAGGGCGGGGCTTCGGGACTCGCTGTGGGGATATCTGAGGATCGCATGGAAGGTGTGCAGAGTGCTGGGTCTGTCCGAGCGCTGAGACTGTGGGGTGCGGGTGGGGTGGGGGGTCGGGAGGTTAAATGGGGGCCCTGCGCTGGTTGCCGGGAGCCCGAAGGCTTTGCGGAGCCCGTTTATTCTCGTGATAGCTGAGTGTAGTGATGTCAGCGGTGTGACGCTCAGACTCAAGCGGAACACGATGAAGTGAAGCTGGTCTGCGGGTCCTTCCGGAAACCCTTCCTGAGGTGGAAGGTCTGGGAGGGAACGTGACCTGGCCTCTACCTTGAACTCACAGTTCAGTGGGGAAGGTAGACATTAAATAAATAAATTAATAAGTAAATAGACTCACTGGTGACATATCTAATGCAGAACGTCCTAATGCAACCAGGGAGATCCAGGAAGGCTTAATTTATGGAAATAGCTTTATCCGTTTTTGGCATTAAGTATTTGTATTGAGCAAATGTATTTATTACAATTTACGGATAAGTTAACAGTCATGTACAAACAGCGTTTTGGCTGTAAAATCTCAACAAATGTGTTACAATTAAATCTTTGAAGCTGAAGAAGCCAGAATTTCGAAGTCTTCTAGTCACCTAATGAAGGTGAAGTTAAATTGTGAAAATCTAAATTATAGGCCAGTGTGGTGGTGCACCTTTAATCACAGCACTCGGGAGGCAGAGGTAGGCCAATCTCTTAAGTTTGAGGCTAGCCTGGTTTACATAGCAAGTTCCAGGCAGGCCAGCACTAGCAAGTATCTCAAAAAAAAAAAAAAATTGTTGTAAAAATATAAAATCTGAGGCTGGAGAGATGGCTTAATGGTTGAGGGTACCTCCTACTCCTTTAGAGCACCCAAGTTTGGGTGCCAGCACCCATGTCCAGTAGCCCACAAATTCCTGTAACGCCAGCTCCAGGGGCGCCATCACTTTCCTCTGGCCTCTATGGGCACCTCCACACAGCATAATTCACACAGACACGCACAAAAATTAAAACTGTTTAAAATAAAATCTGATGGTCTTGGTTTCAAGATACAGGTGAAGGGTATCACATTGCATGACTCAGTAAGGAAGATTTTACCTCTATATACAAGCCTGTTATTTGCTGGCTACATTGATACTTAAAACACTGCTATTGGGCTTCAGTGTATGCAGTTTTCAGCCCAGAACTCCAAGGAGTTTTCTTTCCTTGGGAGGGGGCATTTAACATTTAAGATCAGAGAAGGGATGAAAAGATTTTGTTTTTCTTCAGGCCCAATTTTTAATTATTTTTTTATGTGTATGAGTGTATTGCCTGCATGTAAGTAAGAGCACTCCTGCCCTGCGATGCTTGTGGAGGTTCAAAGAGGGTGTCAGATTCCCCTGGAACTGGAGTTACAGATGATTCTTAGCTGCCATGTGAGTGTTGGGAATCAAACTCGCGTCCTCTGCAAAAGCAGAGAGCAGGCAGTGCTCTTAACTGCTGAGCCATCGCTCCAGCCCCCGTTTCAGTCCAGTTTTTAAATTATCCCTTCTGTCCTTATCACCATCCAGTCCCTTCTAAAGGATTGTAATATGAATATTGTTAGAATTTATTAATTAACTTACAATATAACAGGTATTCTTGTGGCGTTTTCATAGATGATTTTGGTTGACTCTTTCCTCATCCTCCTCCATCTCCCTGTCCTGCGTTGCCACCTCCACCCTCCTACCACAGTACCCTCTTCCACTTTCACATATGAGTTTCTTTGGTTATTTGTCTTTTTGAGACAGGGTCTCCCTGTAGCCCCAGCTGGGCTGGAACTCACTATGTAGACCAAGCTAGCCTTGAACTCAGAGAGACCCCTCTACCTCTGCCTCCCAAGTGCTGGGACTACAGGCGTGCGCCACCATGCCCAGCTACACGTGAGTATTTTTAACCAAGTTTTTACTTATTTTGGTAGCAAGAGTAGAATCTCATATGGAAATAACTTTTATAAAGGCACTAAATTGTGGGACTGGAGAGATGGCTCAGCAGTTAAAGAGCACTGGTTGTTCTGGCAGAAGATCCAGATTTGAATCCCAGCACCCACATCACATGGCAAGAAACAACTGTCCAGTACCAGGGGATCTGACACCTTCTACTGATCTCTGTGGGCATTGTACACACAAGTGCACTTACACACATGCAGAGAATACACTCATACACATAAAAACAATAAATTAGCTGGGCTTGGTGCATATGCCTTTAATTCCAGCACTTGGGAGGCAGAGGCAGGTGGATCTCTTGTGAGTTTGAGGCCAGCCTGGTCTACATAGTGAGATCCAGGCCAGCCAGGGTACAGGGAAATTTTTTTAAAGCACTAAATTAGATTACTCTGCTCAAAGCTGGTTGCTGGCTTCCCGTTGTGCTTGGCCTGTGCAGCTCTTTGTGGGCGATCCCTGCCCCCCGCCTTTTTTTTTTTGCCACCTCTCTCCATTCAGCCAAGTCATGGCTGTTTTTTCTTGATCATCAGACTCACCAAGCTCATGGTCACATGAGGACCCAGATTGCTGACTCCCTGTCCTGTCTTCTTATCATTTGGACCTCAGCTCAAAGGACAATATCTCAGAGGACAGTCTCGGGGTTCATGGTAACACAAAAAAAATCTAATTTTCTTTTAAATTCTCTTTTATTATTTTGGGGGGGGGGGTCTTTTTTGAGATAGGGTTTCCCTGTAACCCCAGCTGTCCTGGAACTCACTATGTAGACCAGGCTGGCCTTGAACTCACAGAGATCTGCCTGCCTCTGCCTTCCGAGTGCTAGGATTAAAGGTGTGCATCACCATGCCTGGCTTAAATTCATTTAACTACAGGCTCTTGATATGTAGCCTAGATTGACCCTTTTTTCTTTTAATTTTTTGAGACAGAGTCTCACACTGTAGGCCGTAATTCAGTATGTAGTGCCCAGGCTAGCCTTGAACTCTTAGTAAGCCTCCTGCCTTAGTCTGTTGAATGCTGGGATTATAAACCATGACATCTAGCTTTTCTTTTTCTTTTTTGTCTTTTTCAGACAGGGCCTCCCTGTAGCCCCAGCTGTCCTGGAACTCACTATGTAGACCAAGCTGGCCTTGAACTCACAAAGAGCCACCTGCCTCTGCCTCCCAAGTGCTGGCATTAAAGGCATGCGCCACCACACTTGGCCCCAGTACCATTTTTTAAAAAATATTTTATTATTTTTATTTTGTGTATGAGTGTATTGCCTTGAGTGCACCCATGTTGTGCAATGTCAGAAAAGGGCACTGGATTCCCTGGAACTGGAGTTAAGAAGGTTGTTAGATGGCAAAGCATGGTGGCTCATGTCACTGGAATTAAGGATGGTTTGTAGCCACCATGTGGGTGCTGGGAATCAAACCTGGGTCCTCTGCAAGAGCAGTCAGTGCTCTTAACCGCTGAGCCCTCTGTCCAGCCCCAGTATCATTTTTTTTTAAAAAAAGGTAGAGCCCTAAGGGATACCATGAGTTAACTAGGTGGGTGAAGACAGACATGGACAGCTAACACGTTCCAAGTCCAAGTCAGAATGGTATAGAGCCAGCCCTGCAGCACAGAGAGCAAGGAAAAGACGGTCTTGGAGACAGCAAGGCAGGCTTAGGTTGGAGAAAGCCTTGTGATACAGGTGATGTGTTATGCTTGCTGTGTGTGAGGCCCTCATAGTGTCACATTTATCTACTGTGGTTCCTGTTTGGTTTTCTGCGGTGGTAAATGGGATGGGGGTGTTGAGACAGGGTCTCATCGTGTAGACCATCTACTTTTTACAACTCTGTGGAGCAGATGCTATTTTTGTCACCACTTTACAGATGAGAACATTAAGGCTCCAAGAGATTAATGTCTATGTCTCACAGCTAGAATTCACATCCAGGAAGCATGGTCTTCAGAGTGTAACCTCCAAAGCATGTGGTGTTACAATTCCTCACAGCTGTGAGATGCCTTTGTTGGGTTCTAAGTTGAGAAGACAGAAGGGCACAGGAGAGCCGAAGTCTGCTCTTGGTCTGTGGCTTGCTTTCCACAGCAGTGGGATTGGGCGAGTCTTCTTGGATGGGTAGCAGCAGCCTGAGGTGAGAACTTTCCAGTAAAGAGAACTGCATGCAGAGGCCTTTGCAAGAGTTTCAAGGAGTTTGTTTTACATGGAGATTGAGGGAGTCGGAAGTGGGTTGAGATTAAGTATTGAAGTGGAGATGTCGGGGCTAGTTTGGACTTCTGAGTCCTGGGCAGGAGGTGGAAACCCTGTCATGATCACCTCTGCATCTCTGGGGTCCGCTTTCTCAGTATCATGGTATGATGAACACACATGAACCACAAAGTTCTGTTTAAGATTTTAAAGTGCTTGGAACAAAATAGTTGGTATATAAGAAGTCAGGGCTAGATTATCCTATAGGAAAGGTAATGGAAGCCATTGAAACTTCAGCAGGAAGTCACAGCTTTACCTGTTTTAAACCTTTGAAAGTTCAAGGTCTATAAAGAAAAAAGTGGAGCCACGAAGCTGCAAACACCCTCTTAGTTTCTGGGACTTTGGTTTATCCAGTTGATGTCACCTTTAAGACCATTTTACTGTTGCAATGTAAAAGAACCTTTGCCCTCCAACCATGATCCTGTGTTCCATAATAATTGTGTTTCTCTTATTCTCTGTCAGCCAAGACTCTTGGAATTGTAACACCCAGAAAACCTGTCTTATCTGTTAGTGCAAGAAAACTTAAGGACAACGCAGCTGATTGGCACAACCTGATCCTGAAGTGGGAAAGCCTCAGTGATGCAGGTTTCTCCACTGCAAGCAGCATTGCCAACCTGAAGACCAGCTTGTTGTAAGTTTACATGGAGTTCCCACACTCTGAACTCTCCCTTAACCACTGGGCAGAAGGGCCAGGAGAGAGAATTTATCAGCATGAATAAATTGGACTTTTAAGCCAAAAAGTGGTGAGATGACTCATGTAAATATTAATTGCACATACACATTTTAAATACAAAATCCCACTGGTTCTTGTGGTACATGCCAGTAGGATTTGCTGAAGAAACAAAGGCGGTTACCCATCCCTTTCTCCTGCCCTCCTTCCCGCCCTTCCTTTCTTCCTTCCACTTACTGATTTTTTTTTAAAGATCTATTTATTTTATGTGTATGTTTTGCTTGCATGTATGTATTTGTGCTATGTGTGTTCCAGAGTGTCAGATTCTCTGGAACTGGAGTTACAGTTGCTAGCTACCATATGGGTGCTGGGGACCGAACTTGGGTTCTTTGCAAGAGTAACAAGTGCTCTTAACTGCTGGACATCTCTCCAGTCCTGTTATTTCTTCTGAAGACAGAATTCCACTATCTATCTCAGGCTGGCCCTGAACACCCAGGGGACCTTCTGCCTCAACCTCCTGAGTGCTGGGATTGCATGTATGGACCACCTGAGTGCTGAAATTGCATGCATGCACCTCCTGAGTGCTGGGATCGAATGTATGCACCACCACACTTGGCTTATTTTGTGGCAGAATCTTACTGTGTTGCTCAAACTCCTGAACTAATTTTCAAGCCTCAGCCTCCCAAGTAGCTGGGATCATTGATGTGTACCACCACTCCCTGTTCTTTTTATTTCTGTTTTGTTTATCTCTTTGTTTGGAGACAGAATTTTATATAGCCCAGGCTGGGCTCAGACTCACTATGCACTTGAAAATGACCTTAAACATCTGATCCTCCTGCCTGCACCTCCCAAGTGCTATGATTACAGGCATGTGGCACTACGTCCAGGTTCATTTTTTTTCTTTAAAAAAGACAGAGGAGGAGCTGGGGGTGGTATAGCAACATATTTACCATGCAGATGTCCTCGGCACCCATAAAAACCCAGGCATTTTGATGTGCATTTGCTGCCTTGTTTTTTGGTGAGATGCTGCTTATAAAGTCTCTGACACAACGGTTGCCCTTTCTATTAAGGTGCATTATGACATTTTCTGTTCTATTTTCTTTATATATTGAGTGTGACCCTTTGTAGATTAGTTTCTTGTGCCATGGGTTTGTTAGATTTCTATTAAAAATACCTGAGATACATCAACTTTAAAAGATGAAAGGTAGCCGGGCGTGGTGGCGCACACCTTTAATCCCAGCACTTGGGAGGCAGAAGCAGGTAGATCTCTTCTCTGTGAGTTCAAGTCCAGCCTGGACTACATAGTGAGTTCCAGGACAGCTGGGGCTACAGGGAGACCTTGTCTCAAAAAGACCAAAAAAACAAACAAACAAACAAACAAAAAAAAACCAAAGATGAAAGGTTTTGGGGGCTGCAGAGATGGCTCAGAGGTTAAGAGCACTCTTGCAGAGGACCCAGATTTGGTTCCCAGCACCCACATGGTGGATAATAACCATCTCTAACTCCAGTTCCAGGGGATCTGACACCCTCTTGTGACCTGTGGACATTGCGCAATACGGGTGCACTTACATACATACAGGCAATGCACTCACACATACAAAACAATAAAATATTTTAAAAGATGAAAGGTTTAAGCTAGGGGTTGTAACTCAGTGGTAGAATGTGAGCTTAGAGTGTACAAGTCTCTAGGTCCAATGCCTAATACTATAAAATATTTTAAAATTTTTAAAAAGGAAGAGGAAAGGCTGTTTCTATGGTCATTTGACCCCATTGCTTCCAACCTGTGGCACTACCACGCCTGGCAGAGGACCAAGCCTTTAATATCCAAACCATGGCAATGGGTCACAGCCTTTAGTGTTCAAAAAAAAAAAAAAAAAAAAAAAAAATTCCCACTGTGGGCAGTACATCCTTAGGCAGGTCGGCCTGCATTATGTAAGAAAGGCAGCTAGCTGAGTGTTGTGGCATACCCTTTATATACCAGCACTCAGGAGGCATCTGATCTCTGTGTTCAAGGCCAGCCTGGCCTACATAGTGAGCTCCAGGCCAACTGGAACTACAGGGAGACCCAGTTTCAAGACTAAAAATAAATAAATAAATAAATAAATAAACAAATAAATAAACAAAATTCAGAGGTTGTTACCCCTTTGAGGACCCACATCTTATGCATCTAAGCCCTCCACCAAGAATGCCACGTGGCTGAATGTAACCTTTCCTATTGCAGAATTGAGTGACTGGGCTGGGAGTACAGCTCAGCAACAGAGCATTTGTCTAGCACACTGGAGGATCTCAGTTCCATCCCCAGTGCCCAAAATGGAGTGACTAATGGATGTGTCCGTTCTGTAAACATCTGTTAAGATGACAGGAAACGCTTATGCCAAGTGTCTGTCCTAATTATGTAGAAATTGAATTTTTTAGGATTTATTATAAGAAAATGAGGTGAACATTTCTCTGGGTGTCTTTTCTTTCTTCCTTTCTTTTTGAGACAGGATCTCATTGTGTACTGTGTAGTTCAAGCTGACACTGAATGATTCTCCTGCCCTCAGCCTCTCAAGTGCTGGGATTCCAGGCATGTAGTCACCCAGCATGAAATGAGTTTAAGAGTATAATTTGTGGGAGCTGCGGAGATGTTGCAGGGGTTAGGAGCACTGACTACTCTTGCAAGGGACCCAGTTTTTGTACATCCACATAACAGCTAACAACCATCCTTAACTCCAGTTCCTAGGGATCTGACCCCCTCTTCTGGCCTCCACTGGAATTGTACGCATGTGGTACACTTATATTTGCAGGCAAAACGCTCACACACATAAGAAAATAAATTTTTTAGGAAGAGTATAATTTGTGCCAGGTATGGTGAGTTGCATACGTCTTTAATCCCAGCACTCGGGAGCAGAGGCAGGTGGATCTCTGTAAGTTCAAAGGTCAGCCTGGTCTACATACTGAGTTCCAGGCTAGTCAGTACAATTTGTATCCATTATTTTCTGCTTCTACAGGAGTAAAGAGGAGATTGAATTAGAGAGCATCAACCCAGCTTCCAATGAAAAGGAAGAAAGGAAGCATCTGGGATATGATAAGGAGCTTGAGACTCTGTGTGAGGAACTGCAGGCCACCTTGGATGGTCTGGTAAGACCTGAAGATGCTGGCTATGGCATCACTGTCGCTTAGGCCCAGTGGCCCTATTTAGAGTTTGCCTGACTGTCTGAGTATTCAGAATTGTTGGAGATACTTTTCTTCTCCTCAGCCTCCTCCTGTAGTCTCTTCTACCCACCTCACAAGGTGCTGTCCTAGACACCCACTCTTCCTGTCCAGTGCATTGTCCTAGGCAATTTCCCTCACTTTGGGGGTCCACAGAGCAAATATTCCTAAACTTTATGACCCTTTCTCCTCCAGCTTCTCAGCTCTGCCATGTGATGCTAAAGCAGCCATAGTCAGTATGTAAGCAAATAGATGTCTGTTATCAGTATGAACTTGGCAGGTGTTTATTTGATACTTCAAGGAGTGCAGGTTCCTTGTGTAGTTGAGGCTTGTTAGAAACCAAGATCTAGCTGGACCTTTAATCCTAGTACTGGGGAGGCAGAAGCAGGGAGCTGTCTGTGAGTTTGAGACCAGCCTGGTCTGCATATGGAGTTCCAGGCCAGCCAGAGCTATATACATAGTAAGACTCTGTCTCAAAAAAAAAAAAAAAGTGGGCTAGAGAGATGGCACAGTGGTTAAGAGCACTGGCTACTCTTACAGAGGACCCAGGTTCAATTTCCAGCACTCACATGGCAGCTAACAACTGTCTCTAACTCTTAGTTTCTAGAGAATCCGATACCTTCTTCTGACCTCTGTGGGCATTGTACACCATAGGTACACTTATATACATGCAAACAATACATCTGTACACACAAAATAAAAAATAATAAATGGCCAGGCGTGGTAGCACACGCCTTTAATCGGGAGGCAGAGGCAGGCGGATCTCTGTGAGTTCAAGGCCAGCCTGGTCTACATAGTGAATTCCAGGACAGCTGGGGCTACAGGGAGACCCTGTCTCAAAAAGACAAAAATAATAATAATAATCATAATAAATAAAATGCTTTTTAAAAAAGAAATCAAAGCTGGGTGTGGTGGCGCACACCTTTAATCCCAGCACTCAGGAGACAGAGGCAGGCGGATCTCTGGGAATTCAAAGCCAGCCTAGTCTCCATAGCGAATCCAGGCCAGCTGGGGCTAGAGGGAGACCCTGTGTCAAAAAGACCAAAAAAAAAAAAATCAAGATCTGAGGCAGAAGAGATGGCTCAGTGGTTAAGAGCATTTGTTGCCCTTTCAAAGGATGGGAATTTGTTTCCCAGAACGCATATCAGACAGCTGACAACTTCTGTAACTCCAGCTTCAAAGGACCCAGTACTCTCTTCTGGCCTCTGTGGGCACCTGTACTCAGATACACACACGCACACACACACACACACCACACACACACCACACACACACACAATCAAGCTCATTAAAGAAACCAAGATCAGCATGCTAGCTGTCAAGTTAGAAGTCCTCTGCTCCACTGAACTTAATCTGCTTTAAGCTGGTTTGAAAATGTGTCCTGTTCAATGTTCAAACCCACAAGTGGATGTTGGAAGGTTGTGGATGCTGTTTTTCTTGTTATCTCCCAGCCATTGCAGGAGACGGGGGGGGGGAGTTGGGGGTGATATTGATACAGGCTTTTCCCTTAGCTGCATCTCCATTTTGATGTAATGTCTGTTACTGTGGATGCTGAAGCATGAGTGGGCTACCCATGCATTGTCAGTTCAACACATGTCATGTTAACAGGGTTTTCCTTCCTCTCCCAAAAGAGCCAAGACTGGTGTTAAAAGACTCAAGACTGGGGAGGAGGGGGTGGAGAGATGGTTCAGCAGTTAAGGACACTGGTTGTTCTTGCAGAGACCTGGGTTCTAATCCCAGCACCCACATGGCAGCTAACAACTGTCTGTAACTCCAGTTCCAGGGGATCCTACAACCTCTTCTGTCCTCGGGGACATTACTTGACATGGGTGCACATACCTACATGCAGGCAATACACACATACACATAAAATAAAAATAAAATAAAATACTTTTTAAAAAGAAGGTGAACAAGAAAGGACAATAAATAAGACAAAAGGCATATTAATGAATTTAGATATCTAGTCTGCTTAGGCTGGCCTTGAACTCACAGAGATCCACCTGCCTCTGCCTCCCGAGTGCTGGGATTAAAGGCATGTGCCACCACACCCAGCTAAATAAAATGCTTTCGAAAAAAAGACTCAAGCTTGGAAAGCGTGATCAGGTTCTGCCCTTGTCCTCCCCTAGCTCAACCTTGAATATCTTCCCAGCAACAAGCAGAAATGATGAATCCTGTCTTCCTGAGGTTGAGCCAAGTGAATATCGAACCTAAAATGATCTGGGAAGGAAGCAGAATTCATTAAACATTAACATTAGCTAAATATAGTGTGTGCCATATTAGATAGAGCCAGAGGGCGGTTGGGAGGGCTGAATGCAAGGAATCAGGATTTTGGTGCTGTTGTACCTTTTATTCCCCTGAACACACAACAGTTAACCACACACAACAGCTCACTACACTGGGGAGTTAGACATTGGGTTTTCATAAGCTTGTGCTACTCGAAGCTGAAATTTTTTTTTATTTATTTTTGAGACAGGGTCTCCCTGTAGCCCCAGCTGTCCTGGAACTCACTATGTAGACCAGGCTGACTTTGAACTCACAGAGATCCGCCTGCCTCTGCCTCCCGAGTGCTGGGATTAAAGGCGTGCGCCACCATGGCCAGCTGAATCTGAAATTTTATTTCACAGTCCCTCATATAACTCCATCTACATGCTTCACAAAACACCGTGTCCCTCCCTCTCACCTGCATCTTACAGTGGGGAGGGTGTTAGTATTTCCAGCTGGGAGCAGAGCAGGAGCAGAGGACACTGCTGCAGAGGGAAGGGACTTGGGTGGGGAAGGCACCTGTCAGGGTCCTCTGTGGACTCTGAGGACTCTCATTCTCAACCAGTAAATCCAGGCTTGCAGAGGCTTCCTTCCAGAACTCAAGGGCGGTTCATGAAAGAGTCAAAATGGGCTTGTTGCGTGCCTTCCTCCTACCTCTCATTCCCCAGTAGCAGCACGCACCTGCCCTGGGACACCTCCAGGTCTTTGAAGCTAAAATGGTAGTGCACTTGAAATCTCACTGAAGTGTGGCTCAGCAATCATTCTTTTCTCTGACGCTGGAAATCCAGGGCTTCATACGAAAGTAATCCAAGTTAATGAAACTATAACCTGCCTCCTCTCCATCTCTGGAGTTCTGCCTGTGGAGTTAATGGTGTGAGTTATGGAATTTTAGCATCAATAGGACCTCCTAGCTTTGAAATCTTTATATGTAGTTATTGAATCTGAGATTAGAAAGACTAAGCAATTTTCTCATATTCCAAATTAATATCTTTTCAGACTAAAATACAAATGAAGATGGAGAAGCTGTCTTCAACTACCAAGGGAATTTGTGAACTAGAAAATTACCATTACGGGGAAGAGAGTAAACGGCCCCCTCTGTTTCACACATGGCCCACCACCTACTTTTGTGAGTACTTCTTCTGGAGTTGATTTAGGAGGATCAGTATTGATTAGATCTGGTCCTTAGGAAAGGAAACAGGCATCTTTTTATTTTAAGAATTATTTTTAGTTTTTCTTTAGGTATGTGTATGTGTGTCTGCACACTTGTGCAGGGACATGCAGAGGCCAGAAGAGGGTGTGGGATCCCTTGGAGCTGGAGTTACAAGTGCTTGTGAACTGCCCAATGTGGGTGCTGGGAACTGAACTCCTTTCCTGTAGAAGAGCAGCAGACTCTCCTAACTGCTGAGCTCTCTCCAGCCCCATGACAGGGCATCTTACAGAAACATTTCTTCGGGGCTGGAGAGATGGCTCAGTGGTTGGGAGCACTGGTTGTTCTTGCACAAGACCTGGGTTCAAATCCCAGCACCCACATGGTAGCTAACAACTGTCCGTAGCTCCGGATCCAGGGATCCAACAGCCTCTTCTGTCCTTCTCGGGCATTGCACGACAATGGCGCACTTACCTACATGCAGGCAATACACGCATACACACAAAATAAAAATAAAATATTTTTTAATTTCTTCTTGGATTTAATTATCTAGTCATCAGCAGCATAACTAGAGACCATGATGCCAGTTGCCATTTTTAGCCACTCAGAATGGCCTCCGCAGGCACTCACACATGCAGAGGTGCAGAGTCATAAATAAATCTTTAAAGAAAAAATAAATAGGGGCTAGAGAGATGCCCTAAGAGCACTGGCTGCTCTCACAGAAAGCCTGGGTTCAATTCTCAGCACCCACATGGCAGCTAACAACCATCTGTAAATCCAGTTCCAGAGGATCCAACATCCTCTTCTGACCCCCGAAGGCATTGTACAACATAGGTACACTTATGTACGTGCAGGTGATACACTCGTACATATGAAATAAAAAAAATAGGGGCTGGAGAGATGGCTCAGCGGTTAAGAGCACTGACTGCTCTTACAGAGGACCCGGGTTCAATTCCCCAGCACCCACATGGCGGCTACGAATTGTCCTTAACTCCAGTTCCAGGGGACTCCAAAGCCCTCTTCTGATCTCCACAGCATTGCACGATATGGGTGCACTCACATACATGCAGGCAATGCACTCATACACATAAAAATAATAAATAAAATATTTTAAAATAATAAAATATTTTTAAAAAAGAGAAGGGGCTGGAGAGATGGCTCAGCAGTTAAGAACACTGGTTGTTCTCGCAGAAGAGCTGGGTTTGAATCCCAACACCCACATGGCAGCTAACAACTGTCCATAACTCCGGTCCCAGGGGATCCAACAGCCTCTTCTGACCTCTGTGGGCATTGCATGACACAGGTGCGCTTACCTACATGCAGGCGATATACACATACACATAAAATAATAAATAAAGTTAAAAAAAAGAAAAAAATATCAGTGGATAAATTCTGCTTCCTCTGTAGAAGTAGAAATCTCGTTTGTTTGTTTTTTAATTACTGAAGAACAACATTTTGTTTTCACTTGTTTTTAATTAAATAAATTGGGGCTGGTGAAGTGGCTCAGCAGGTAGGGTGCTTGCCACCAAGCCTGAGGACCTGCATTTGATCCCCAGGATCTACGTAGTGGAAAAGGACACTGGCTCCCAAGGTTGCCTTCTGACTTGGGCACGTGCACACATAATGACAAAGATACAATTTTTAAAAAGGCTGGGCGAGGTGGCACAGGCCTTTAGTCAGCACTTGGGAGGCAGAGGAAGATCTTGGTAAGTTTGAGGCTAGCTTGGTCTACATAGAAAGTTCTAGGACAGCCCGGGCTACACAGTGAGACTGTATCTCACAAAAACAAAACAAAAAAAGCTGAAAGGGGGAAGGGCTGAGCTATTTGATGTTAGGGGTTTGTTGTTGCTATTTTTATCTTTATTAACTTAAAATTTTTCTTTAATATTATTTTTATTTTATGTGTATGAGTGTATTGCCTGCATATGTATTAAATGCACCTGTGTCATGCAGTGCCCGTGGAGGTCTGAAGAGGGTGTTGGATCCCCTGGAACTGGAATTACGGATGATTGTTAGCCACCATGTGGGTGCTGGGAACTGAACCCAGGTGCTCAGCAAGAGCAGCCAGTACCCTTAACTGCTGAGCCATCTTTCCAGCCCACTTTTACTTTTTTTTTCTTTTATTTTTGGTCTTTTTGAGACAGGGTCCCCCTGTAGCCCCAGCTGTCCTAGAACTCACTATGTAAACCAGGCTTGACCTCAAACTCATAGAGCTCCCCCTGCTTCTGTATCCTGAGTGCTGGGATTAAAGGTGTGCTTTACCATGCCTGGCACACTTTACTTTTTTCTAAACAGTATCTTGTGTGTTCTAGATTGAGCTGGTGCTCATGTAGTGCAGGCAGGCCTCAGACCTTTAGTCCCTGAGAGCTGCCATTGCCCGACTCTCAGTGTCTTTTTGAGATGACTGTTTACAATCATTGCAGATGCCTCAATGGCTGGTGGCAGCCTAGGTGTCCTCTGACCTCATGCTTCTTACTGTGTGTCCCCAGCCAGATTGGGACACTCCAGCCTGTTCCTTCTTGATCTCAGTGCTGTTCTGATGTTTGTTTTGAGGAAGGTCTCCCATTGCCCAGGCTGGCTGAGGGCGACCTCAAACTTCCCATCCTTCTTCCTCTACCTCTGCTTTCACCTCCGAGTGCTCCCCTATAGGCATGCAAAACAGGCAGTTTATGGGATACTCAGGATCGAACCCAGGGCCTTGTGCATGCTAGACAGTACTCTTAACAACTGAGCCACGTTGCTGGCCCTGATTCTGACTGAAGCCTGAGCAGTCATGGCTCTTTCTTAGGAGGGCACATCCTGAAATCATGTGGTCTGTTGCAGATGAAGTCTCCCACCATCTTTCCGACATGTACAGGAAGGAGCTCCTCCTGAAGCGCACCATTGGTGCAGAACTGGCGCACACTGCTGACCGCAGCCTCGCCCTGAGCTACCTGTCCATGTGGCTGCACCAGCCCTATGTGGAGAGTGACAGCAAGCTGCAGCTGGAGAGCATGCTGCTGGAAACAGGGCACCGGGCCCTGTGACTGCCCAGAACACCCCACCCCACCCCTTAAGTTCAGGCTCCAGACTCTGGCTGGACAGTCACTTGGGTGGGGCCTGTTGTGCCCTAGGGGCAGAGGCTTCTAGGATCCTGGGATCGCTTTTCCAGGTCACAAGCATTCCGGCACTGCTGCAGCTGTTGCAGCTGTCCTCCCTTCTGCCTCACCCCACCTATCCTGAAGCTCTACTCCTCAGCTCCACTGAGTGAAATAAGAGCATTCCTGAGAAAGATGAGGACCTTGTAAATTATGTATACTTCACATATTACATCTGTGTAGACAGTCTTGAGTCTCCTGTTTTTCCTTTGTACCTATCTACCTTTCTTGTGCTGGGAATCAAACCCAGGCCATCAGGCATGTGCAGTACTCAACCACTGGGACACACCCCCAGTACCTGTACTTAAATTTTGAAGAGAATGTATTAGTTCTATAATTAGAAGTAAAACTGCATGAAAATTAGACATTTAAAATCCTGCAAAGTGGGAGCTCAGTTAAAAGTGCTTGCTGTTCTTGCAGAGAACTGGAGTTTTGTCCCTAGCACCCACGTCAGGTGACTCACAATGGCTTGTAACTCCAGCTCCAGGGGATCTGATGCCATCTTTCAGTCTCTGTGGGCACCTGCAGTGGTTTTTTTTTTTTTGTTTTTTTTTTTTTTTGGTCTTTTTGAGACAGGGTCTCCCTGTAGCCCCAGCTGTCCTAGAACTCACTATGTAGATCAGGCTGGCCTTGAACTCACAGAGATCCACCTGCCTCTGCCTCCCGAGTGTAAATCTTTCTTTTTTAACCCTGGAGTAAAGTTTGAAAACTTTATGCCAAAAATTGCCATTATTTGCATGACAAAGATGTAACAAGCCAGGAAGAAGGTCAGAGATTTCAGAGTGTTTATACCCTGTGGGCCTCAGTGTATAAAGATAATGAATAGATCAGTCCTTAATTGTGGTGTTTTAGCTTTTTTATGTTTAACCATTCACCTACCACCTACCTAAGTTTTTCAAGACTTTTAATTTTTCAATGTACTGTTTTTTAAATTTTTTTTTATGTGTATGAGTGTTTTGCCTACATGTATGTATGTGCACCACATGCATACAAAGAGGACATCAGATCCCCTGGAATTGGAGTTACAGATGGTTCTGAAGGAGAGTGTCCCTCAGACCCCCTCCCTGTCCTCTGAGAACGAGCTGCCTTCCACCTGACTCTGGAAATCCCCTAGATTGTTCAAACCCTTTCCCGGTACATTTGTTTATGGTTTCTGTAGGAATCCCCTGCTCTGCGGTTTTTGTGCTTAAAAGCCCTGCGTTTCCACAGCTCTGGGTTGCAGTGCAGCTCCCAAGCCTGCCTGCGTCCCTGGCCATTTGGTCTCAATAAAGCAGATAAGTTTTCCTGAGTCTCAGTGTCTAAGGGGTCAATTCAGGGAATTCTTTGGACCCCGAACAGTTGTTAGCTGCCATGTGAGTGCTGGGAACCAAACTCAGGTCCCCTTAACTGCCAAGCCATCTCTCCAGCCCTTTGGATTTTTTTTTTTTTTTTTTTTTTTGAGACATGGTCTCCCTGTAACCTCAGCTGGCCTGGAACTCATTCAGAGATCCACTGCCCCTGCCTCCCAAGTGCTGGGACTAAAGGCATGTGCCACCATGTTCCAAAACTATCCTATTATTTTATTTTGTGTATGAGTGTATTGCCTGCATGTGTGTAAGTTCACCCATGTTATGCAATGCCCGCAGAAGTCAGAAGAGGGTGTTGGATCCCTTGGAAGTAGAGTTATGGACAGTCGTTAGCCGCCATGTGGGTGCTGGGCACCAAACCTAGGTCATCTGCAAGAGCAGCCAGTGCTCTTAACCGAGCCATCTCTCCAGCCACTATTTTAACTTTTAATTAATCAAATAAGGACTGTCTGTGTAGAATTTATGCTAAGCGGACCTCAGGAAATGACCACTTCTATCTCCTGCTTCCATCTGTGTGTGTGTGTGTGTGTGTGTGTGTGTGTGCATTCTCTCGCAAGGCACTCACAGGCACACGGGCCACATGCATATGTGCAGGTCAGAGGAAAGCCTTGGGTGTGGGTCCATTGCTTTCTACTTTCACCGCTGCAAACTCAGGCTTCTGGCATTCTCCTGTCTCACCTCCATCTCCCTATAGATGCCATGGGACCTACAGACACTTGTGTTACTGTGCTGGCTTTTGTGTGGGTTCTGGGAATCCAAGGTCAGGTCAAGCTTTACCCACTGCGACTCCATCCTTTTCCCGGATAAAGACAGAGGTCTCAAGTCGGGCTTACAGCTGTTCAAGGTTCTGTGCTAGTAATGGACAGTCCCCAGTTTGCCTTTCTAGTCCAATTGACTTACCACGATTATCAGTGACACACAGAGAAAGAACCTTTTATTCTCCAAGTAGTTACAAAATGCTCAGCTCTATACTCAGAACAAAGGACAAAACAAAACACAAATCAGACCTAGAGTCCTCAAGACTTGGACTGGATAGAAGACAGACTAATGTGTGTCCAACACACACATTAGTGTCATATTCACATTACAGTCACGATAACAACCTCAGGTAGGTAGTTTGACAAAGAGAAAGTGGTTATCTTGAGCCAGACTAGGTAACACAAACTTGAAATGTCAGCACTGCAGGCTGAGGCAGGAGGATCATGAGTGTGAGGCCAGCCTGGGCCTGTCTTAGAAACAAAACTGGACTGACCAGATGGCTCAACAGGTAAAAGCACTTGCCGTTCAAACCTGATGAACTGTGTTCGATCCTGGAACCCACGTAAAGGTCAAAGGAAAGAACTAACTCCATAAAGTCCTCAGACTGCTGTGTACATGCCCCAGGATAGTAAAATCGAAGCATTCCCATCACAAAATAATGCAGGATGCAGAGCGGGGTGTATGTATGTGTTTCTGCTGTTGAAAAGAAATTAATAAAGTTCCCACTGTGTAAAATATGGAAGGTAGTCTGAGGTTAGGGTCTACAGTCCAAGGAGCAAATGCTTCCCAAAGAAAGAAAAAAATGTGTCCCAAAGAAAGGCCTACATTTAGCCAGGACATAGACGGAAAGCTAGGATTTCTCACTGGGCAAATTAGCTTGTCAAAGCATTTAAAGGTAATCTTTTATTGGATCCCTCTTTCCTCTGTTGTATTGGGTAGAATCTGTTCTGAAAGGTGGACAGATATCCTGTGAACAGGTTGCTGCATGATTAGCATTTGGCAGTGTTAGAACCCAGACCAGGGCTGCTCAAGTCACACTGCTCTGCAGCTGACTCCTTCCCCCCTCATAGCTGATTCTCTATACAAGCCCCAGACTAACATATCAATGGGCTGATGATGGATGCACATTAACAAGTGGGATATACATCCCACTCCCCCATATAGAAGCTCAGGGTCAATCCTCCCCTCCCACTGTCATCTGTGTTACTGCAGTCCTGCCCCAGGTGTCTCTAGGTGCTCAGGGGGCAGGCTGCTTTAGCTGCAGTTGGGCTGGATGGGGCCAGGAAGTTCTGGCCAGCCTGGAGATGGTCTTAGCATGAGATCCATTGGCAGCTGGTTTCATGGGGCATTTTGCAGAGTGGGAAGTGGGGGGGGGGGGGGTTTAAAAAAAACCCCAGAGGAATCCCGGGGGGTTTAAGCACTAGGGAAAGCCCCGGAGGGCCCTTTACGACAAGAGAGGGGGGGCCAAAAAAAAGGGGGCATTAGAATAAACACCAGAGGAATCACTGGAGGATTTAGCACTACGGAAAGGCCTCGTAGGACCTTTACGTACAGACAGGTGGGGCACCTTTTCTGCTAGGAAGCAGTTTTCTTTATGCTGGCAGATTCACAGGTTCATACCAAAGTCTGGCCCTGTGCATGGCAGGAATTCACTCATATACCCTTGATACAGTCTGGTTTCTTTCTCTCCTCTATATCGAAAATGCATATGTTTTAATTGGGTGCTCTAGACTACAGGGTCATGGAATCGCAGATGTGCAGATGTGCGTACTGATTGACGTCCTGCTCCCTCCCTTAGTCTGGGCAGTGCCTTCGTGCTTCCCACTTGAGGCCTTCCTTCTGCCCCTTAGCACTCCAGTGGGGGCTGGGGTACTTGGAGGGGCAGCTCCCCACCACCCCTACAATTTGTGTTAAGCATGGCCTCAGTCTGTAGCCCAGCTGATCTGGACTCACTGTGCTGTCCATAACTAAGCCATGTGTAGTGCCTGGTGGCGAGTTTTTAGTGTTTGTATAGCCTTCAAGATTTATTTTTGTGTGTTTGTCTGTGGATATGCATGTGCATGTGAGTACAGGTGCTCAAGGAGGCCAGAAGAGGGTGTCAGATCCACTGCAACGGAAGTTACAGGCAGTTGTGAGGCCCCCTGCATGGGTGCTGGGGACCAAACTCAGGTCCTCTGTAAGAGCAGTATGCACTCTTAAACACTGAGTCAGCCATTTCTCCAGATCAGTTATACTTAGAGTCATTTTTAGAGAGGATTTTGATAGGTGACTCAAGCTGGCCTCAAACTTGAGATATTCCTGCCTGAGCCCCCCAAGTGCTGGGATTACAGGTGTGACCACCATGCCTGACTTGTGTGTATTCCAGGTGAATTGCTCTCCAGACACCCATTAGCAAGTTGTTCAAGAGCAGCAATGGAAAGATCAATGCTGCCAAGGACCCGCAGGCAGAGAACTGAGGGACTAACATGAACAGTGAATGAAGAACACTCCGTGTGAACAGAACAGTGATATGTCGGAGGTCCATACGGAACTTCAAGTTAAGCACATGGGTAGTTCACACGGTTCTATCTTCCACATCCTCACACCATGCTAAATTGACCAAGAAGAAAATGAAAAGCTTGAAATCCACCTGAATTGAACAGGATTTGAGAAAGGGTTTGAGGAAGAATTCATGGGAAGTTTTTTTTTTTTTTTTTTTTTTGGTCTTTTTGAGATGGTCTCTCTGTAGCCCCAGCTATCCTGGAACTCACTATGTAGACCAGGCTGGCCTTGAACTCACAGAGATCCACCTGCCTCTGCCTCCCGAATGCTGGGATTAAAGGTGTGTGCCACCACACCTGGCTCGGAAAGTACTTTTTGGGGATGAGGGTGGCATATACCTGTGTTCCAGGAAGGCTGAGTCAAGAGAATCATGAGTTTGAGGCCAACCTGCTTGCATAGCAAGACCTTAATCAATAAATGGGTCGGCTGGAGAGATGGCTTAGCAGTCAACAGTGCATATTGCTCTTACA